ATCTTTTTCTGTACTGGGGATTGAACCCAAGACTACTTTACCACTGAGCTGCATTCCCAGTCCTTTTTACTGAGTCAGGGTCTTGCTAAGTTGCTGAGGCTGGCCTTGAACTTGCAATCCTTCCCCCGAGTCACTGGGATTATAGGTCCTTCCCCCGAATCACTGGGATTATAGGTGAGTGTCATCACACCTGGCAACAGACACAGATTTCAAACTTATCCAGCTCACTGTAGCTGTACATATTTGTTCATCTGAGTAACCACCAAGATCAAGATTTTTAAAAAACTTCTTCAACCCCCAGGAGGTTTCCTTGTGCCCCTTCCTGGTAATTGCTTATCTCATACCACCAGGTAGTCTCCATTCTGGCTTCTGCTCCCATTGATGAGATTTGTTTGACACAGATGTATAGATGTTTTAGATGTGTTCCCGCCCCCCCCCCCCCCCCCCCCCCCCCGTTTTTTGTTTTTGTTTTTTAATAACATCTGTTTCTCTAGGCTGGCCTCAAACTTGTGATCCTCCTGCCTCCTGTCTCCAGGTAGCTGGAACTAGAGGTTTACGCCACCATGCCTGGCTATCCTGTTAATTCTTTATTTTTCCCTTCTCGCCTCTCCCCAGGCAACCCTACTACCCTGTCTTTGACACATTGGTCTTTTCAGTTTGGGGTAGATCATCCTATTCTGCATCACTTTGTTTTTCTTTTCACTTGACAACATGTCTTGGAAATAATTTCATGTGTACATCTAATTCATTCTCATCCTTTTATACAGCTGGGTCATTTTCCAGGGCGTATCTCTGCCATCATTTATTTACTCAGCCTCCTGGTAGGGACATGTAGGTGTTTGTTGGCAGTCAGGCCAGTCTGATTTGGAACCCAACTGAGAAGCTGGAGCCAGAGAGGAGAAATCCTGTCAGAATCTGAGATCAGGGGCTGGGGCAGTGATTCAGTGGTAGAGCACTTGCCTTGCACATGTGAGGCACTGGGTTCTATCCTCAGCACCACATAAAAAAATAAATAAAGATACTATGTCCATCTACAACTTTAAAAAAAAAAAATTAAAAGAAAAAAAAATAATCTGAGATCAGTGGTCACAGCAGACTCTGTCCCAAGGGCCAGGGCTGATGGGCAGAGTGGCTGGGAGCTGCTAACCCTCCTAAACGCCTCTCCACAGAGGCAGCCACGCCACAGTGGGGATCGGTGGGCGGCTTGAAGGGCTGACCCAGGACCTCCAGCAACTGCAGGAGAGTGAGCAGCAGCTGGACCACCTGATGCACATCTGCACTACACAGCTGCGGCTGCTCTCTGAGGACTCTGACAGCCAGCGATATCCTTGGATTGGCTGGGGACTTGGAGGACAGGTGTGATAGGTGGGGTTACCCACCCAAGTGGGTGGAGAGGCCCTGGATCTCAGATTCAGGAGAAGGCTCTGTCACTGAGTGCAAGTTGGTAGAGTGCTTGATCAAAGCCTTGGGTTTAATCCCTAGGACCTCAAAAAATATACATATATTTTTGGCCATAGCCATCAATTAACACCAAGATCACAGGCCAATATACTCTCAACACCAGGCCTGGCATCGTGTTAAGCTTTTTATGTGGGATTATCACAGTCAGCCATCATTCGCTTTGAATGAGATGGGTAGATAGTCCCACTGTACTGATGTGGCCATTGACGTCCAGGGGAATGAAGTGTTGAACACCAATTATATGCCAAACCTAATGGTGGATCAGGAAGACGAGTGAAAAGGCAAGTATGGACCCTGTCTTGGGGGCTGTCACTGTGAGTGGCCTCCAGAGGCCAAAGATCATATACTCCTTGACTCCACCAACCCTGGCCTATGTGACATGCCAGGACCTTCGTAGCATTGCAGACCCTGCAGAGCAGATGGTCATGGTGATCAAGGCTCCTCCTGAGACCCAACTCCAAGCCGTGGACTCTTCAGAGGTAAAACCAGGGACTTCAGGCCCAACGAGGACAAGCTGGGCTGGGATAGTGGTCACCTGGGCCTCAGGTAATTCTGCCTGCTGCCTCTACCCAGACCTTTCAGATCTCCCTCAAGAGCAAACAAGGCCCCATTGATGTTTTCCTGTGCCCTGAAGAGAGTGTGGGTGGGATCAGCCCAGCAAAGACTCCATCCCAGGAGGCAGCTTCTGGAGAGGAGGACAGGACAACTGACCCCGTCACCACAGTGCCACCACCATCACCTCTGCCTTCGTCCCCTGCTATGGATCCCAGCCAGTCCCTGCTCAGCCTGGAGCAAGGTGGGTAAGGGTGAGTGGGGGGGCCCCCCTAGATGGGTGAGCAGGCATGGCAGCCCCCTCTGTCCTCTCTGCTGGGCCATCCCTGGCCTGTGATGCTCCCCCATCTCCCCAGAGCCACTGTTGTCAAGGATGGGTGGCCTGCGGGCCCCCATGGATGAGGACCGCCTGTCCCCGCTGGTGGCTGCTGACTCACTCCTGGAGCATGTGCGGGAAGACTTCTCCGGGCTCCTACCTGAGGAGTTCATCAGCCTCTCCCCACCCCACGAGGCCCTCGACTACCACTTTGGCCTTGAGGAGGGTGAGGGCATCAGAGACCTCTTCGACTGTGACTTTGGGGATCTGACCCCCCTGGATTTCTGACAGGTCCTAGGGGGCCAGGGTCTCCTGAGATGCCCCTCCCTGTCTCTGCAGCCCTGGAGCCCCCTGCCCTAGGCCATCCTTCCAGCCCTTTTGGAAAAGTGTAATTTATACCCTCTCTCCTATCTCAGCAGCTTCTAGCTCTGGGGTCTGGCTGCCACCAGGAGGTTGAGCAAGCCAGGAAGGGAAGGATTCTGTTTGTGGTGTGTATGTGCATGCACCCAGCACCCCACGTGTGTGTAACTGGGGTGAGTGGTGTGTGAGTATGAGTGTGTGCATGTACCGGGGAATGAAGGTGAACACATCTGTGCGTGCACTGCAGACACGCCCCAGTGTGTCCACGTGTGTGCATGAGTCCATGTGTGTGCATGGGGGGCTCTAACTGCACTTTCGGTCTCCTTGCTCCAGGGGCCCTTGAAGGCCCAGGGTTGGCCGCCTGCCCCCAGAATCCTGTGTGCTGACCTGGCCAGGCAGGGAGGCCTTGGCTGGCTGGGTTTGCAAGAGCACTTCTGTCTTAAGGTTTTCTGATCGAAGCTTTAATGGAGCGTTATTTATTTATCTAGGCCTCTTTGGCAAGCCTGGGAAACAAGACTGGGAGGGATGTGGGGTTGATACCCTAACTCCCTATACCCCTGAGCAAAGACAGGGGTCCCCAAGTGGTTCTTTTGCCCCATCCCGAGGGAGCTGAGGCCTGAGCGATTTATTTATTGGGGAAAGGCAGAAGGGAGACAGACTGACTGACAGCTACGGGTGGATGGAGGGGTGGTCCCTTTCCAGGGGTCACTTCAGAGCCCCAGATGCCCTCCCCATGGATATGAGATGGGAGAGGTGAGTGGGGACCTTCATTGACAGGGTGGGCAGGAGGGGTGGGTGAAGGGCTCCCCAGCCTAGACTGAGGGGACCCTCCTGTGGTGTTTGAAGTGCCCCCCTCCCACTTATTGCTCTGCCCCACCCTCCAATCTGCACTTTGATTTGTTTCCTAACAGCTGTTTCCTCCTGCTTTGGTTTTAATAAACATTTTGATGATGTTTGGGCTGGGTTTTAGGTCTCTACTTGATGTAAGTCTGGGAGTGGGAGAAACCAGGGTTTTTAGGGAAAATGCCCATTCTCCTCTCTGTCCCTCAGATGGATTTCATTCTATTTGAGTTTCATAACCCTAAGAAAGGAAGGCTTCCTAACTTAAAGTTTTTTCCTAACTTAAAAACTGATCCAGTAAATATTGCCAAAGTGTGGAAGTAATAGGTGAGTTTCTCTCCTTTCAGCCCCAGGGGTCACTGATATTTTTGGTATGTTCCTTCCAGAAGTTTCTAGGCATTAGTAAACATGCAACAAATACAATGGACTGCATTTGTATCTGTGTCAGGTACTTTCCAGTCTTGGGGTGAGTGGGTTCCCTCCCCTCAAGGGTGTTTTGATGGGAATTTGTGCAAAAGAAAAATTAGGGGAGAGCTTTCTGGAAGAGGTGGTGCTTAGGCTGAAAACTGAGGGTCAATAGGGGTTAACTGGAGGAAGGAAGAGGAACACACCAAGCAGAGAAAAAAAGTATGGGCAAAGAGGCCCTGGGGCCCAGTGGGGCAGGTCAGAGGAGCTGACCTAATGAGGCTGGAGTCCTGAGGGAGGAGAGACATTCATTCTAGGGTTTTATTCAGGGTACAGAGTCACCAGGCAGTCTAAGGAGGGACATGTCCTGTTTCATATTTAAAGCTCCCTCTGGCAGCTGTACAGAGACCGTTGAAGGGAGTGCCCAAATAGCTTGGGGGGAAAGAAGGCTGAGGACTCTGAAAGTGCAGACAGTGTGGGGTCAGGACACTTGAGACCTGGGAAAGGGGAGAGTGACAGCAGCATGGACCTGTGTAACAGACCGTTGGGTGGGCGGTCTCTGAGCTGGCCCAATTTAACCCCTTTACATTCAATGCATCACCACGACTCCTATGGGGGCGTCCACTTTTACCCCCATTAGACAAACCTACGGGAGAAGACGACCCTTGGGTTGGCCGCTGACCCTCTGGGCCTTGGGTCCTGTGTTCGCGCAGCCCTCCCGTTCTGCTCTTGCGGTGCACACCCGCGCTGGCTGGATCTGCTCGGCCCGTCCCGAGTGGAAATTACCCCTTGGGTGGTTCCTCACTCCTCGGTGGCGCACCCGCGGGGAGGGTCCAGGCTGGACCTGGGCGCAGCCTGGGCTCCAGACGGGGAAACCGAGGCCCGGCGTGGCCGGCAGAGGCCAGTCCCGGGCGCACGGCGGGGGCGGGGCGGGGGCGGGGCCGCGCTCGCGCCGGCGCCAATGGGCGGGCGCCCCCAGCCCCCGGCCCGCCGCGGCGTCCGGCCCGAGGGAGCCTCGGCGGAGAGCGGCCGGCGGAGCACAGCCAGCCGAGCGGGCGGCTGCGCCATGGCGTGCGCAGGGCTGCTCACCGTGTGCTTGCTCCGGCCGCCCGCGGCCCCGCGGCCCCCTGGATCCCCAGCTGCCGCCGCCGCCGGCGGGCCCGCCGGACACGCGCTCTTCCAGGACGTGAGTGGGGCGCGGGCGGGGCGTCTCCCGGGCTCGCTGTCACTGTCTCCCGGCCCCGTCTCTGTGCTCCCGCATCTCGGTCTCAGTGCGTGTCTCCCTGACCCTGTCCCTCTCGCGATCTCTGACCCACCTGTCCCTCTGTCCCTCGTCTTCCTTATTCCGATCTCGCTGCCTCCGCGTCCCCAGTCCTGTCTTTTCATATCACTCCTTGTCTCTGCTCCAGTGTCGCTGTCCCTGCTGTCCCAAACCCCCAAACAATCTGTCTGGTGGGGGTGGGGACTGTCAACACAATTAAGATAGCAGTCACTGTCCCTGCTCTATGGTGGCGCCTGGCCACATTAGGAGCCCTCTCCTGACCCTAGTAGTACCTCCAGAGCCCCTCTGACCCAAGGGCAAGAGGAGTCCTGCAGCTGGTGAAGGCTGCCCACAGCCATCCTCTGTGGTCTGGGTACCACTCCATGGGGCAGCAGGTGGCCCTGCAGCCCCCTTCTGTGAGTGTGGAGCAGCATTTCTGGGTCTCAGTCACTCCCTTTTACCCCTGTGCTCAGTCCCCATTCCAGAGGTCCCTACCAGTGGGAAAGACTGTACTCCTGCCCCCTCCCCACAACCCCCAGTGACTCAGCACCTTGACCACAAACAGTTCTGACTGAAAGCTGACCCTCCTGCTTCTCAGATAGGAACACCGAGGCCTAAGGGGATATGTCCATATTGAAGCAGGGGCATTACTGGGTGTGGCCCCAGGTGTCTTCTCAATTTAGCTCCCTGCCCATATCTCCATCTACCCACCCAGGCCCCATTGGGCTGCTGTGTGATCCCAACCCTGTAGCATACCTTCTCTGATTCAGGCTAGGCATTAGATTGATTCTTTAGACCCACTGACCCTGAGGAGATCATCCAAAGGGAGTGAGGACTTGAAGCTATGAGGGCTCTCTGTCCAGGTTTTGGTCTGCATCTCTTTTTTAGGCCTGCTGGGCTGCCCTTTGCTGGGCTTTGGGGGACCTGGAAGTTTCTGGTCCCTGAGAGGCTGTCTTACTGCCTCTGGTGCCTTTCATCTCCTCTTCTCTGTAAATAAAATCTGCTGATCTTTGTCTCCCCACCCTCACCTCCCTTGGGCACTCACACACCTACCCACAGCCCTCACATAAAGTTGTCTCTGTGGGAAGCCCCGGCCCTGAAAGGGTTAACCCTAGGCTGCTCCTTGGGACACTAGTGGGAAAACTGAGGTATGGCAAAGAAGGGAATGGCCACTTCCTGCACAGGCATGCAGGGGACCGGCTCAGAGGACGAAGACTGGGGTGGACTGTGGGTGGCCAGAGTTGGGGTTCAGGTCTGGTTTGGATCCTTGGACTGCATCTTGACCCATCTCTGCACCTTCTTCAAGCCGGGACATGCCAAGGGCTGATGCATCAGACAGAACTCAGGCTGGCGTCCAGGTGTGGGAGGTGGGGTGCAGGAGCTGGCCTGGGGCACCCCATGGAGCCAGGCTCTGCAGGAGCAGGGAGCAAGCAGTGGGACCTGCTGTGCGCCCTTCCTGTGCCTCCCTTGTTGGAAAAGCACCTGCGGGCTGAGCTGAGCAGGCGGCTGGGGCAGGCTGAGCAGGAGGTAAGGCCAGGCAGCGGGGAGGCAGAGCAGCTGGGGCCCTGGGGTCGGGCGGCGCCTCTTGCTTCTTACCCCCACCCAGCTCCCACTCCTGTCCCTTTGTCCTCTAGGTTTTCCGCAGAGCAGACAAGAATGGTGAGTGTCGCTTTCCCTGGGACTCGGTGGTGAGTGGGAGTCCATCAGGGAGATTCAGGGGAGAGTTGGGGAATTGGGGGAGAATTTGAGTGGAGACAAATCTTGGGGGCCCTGAAACAGGGAGATCAAATCAATGCATCCTTCCCGGAGGAAGTGCTATTCCGAGTCAAATTTGGAAGGGAGAGCAGAGGGAGAGTGGTTTGGGTAGAGGCTGGAAGTGGGGGCTTGTTTTCACACAGTGCCCTAGCACAGTGATGGGTACTTCCGGTATGTGACCTGTGTTGCCTTGCAGCGCCAGCTGGATTGAGATTCCTCACCCATTTCACAGACAAAGGAGTAGAACCCTAGAGAGGGGAAGCAAGCTGCCTGAGGTCACACAGCCTTTAATTGGTGGTGATGTGTGGTCCTAAATTCCCTGTGTGAGGGGCTTGGAAGGGTGGGATAATGGAGGCCCTGTGGGGTACTTCACCCAGATTTTTAGAGGTCTCGCTTTCCACGTGACTTACCATCTAGATCCAGCGAGGGCTCAGAGGACACAATTAAACCCAGCCTTTGGGCAAGGATACAGTGGGGTCCAGTAACCTGAGTCAGCTCCTTCTGCCCCTGGTCCAGCCTAGCGTGCTATAGGTTTGCTGCCTCTAGATGGCTGGGAACAGCCCCCTGTAGTGACCAGCCAGTGGAGGGTCTGAGCTGAGGGGGCCATTTTGCCTGGAGCTCCCCTCCCTCTGGGTCTTTACCTACCCCCCACCCCCATGTTCCAGCCTCCTTGAGATGGGGTAGTGTCCCCACTCCTTGCTCCTTCTCCTTGGGTATTTTTTAATTGGTGGGAACCATTTGTCCCAACCCACTGACTGAGACACATGCCCTGCCTGGGTGTGGTGGCACATGCCTGTAATTCCAGCAGCTCGAGAGGATGAGGCAGGAGGATTGTGAGTTCAAAGCCAGCCTCGGCAACAGTGAGGCCCTAAGCAACTCAGTGAGACCCTGTCTTTAAACAAAATATAAAAATGGCTGGGGATGTGGCTCAGTGGTATAGCGCCCCTGATTCAATCCCCGGTATACCCCCAACCCTTCTCTCCCCACCAAAAAAGACACATCCCCCCTTTGATTGGGGCATTCCTTCTGGAGAGCCTCAGGCCTTACCACCCCTACTCCTGCTCTGCAGCTCCCCCTCCCCATTTATTAGTGACTCTCTACATCATTCAGGCCGACTCTCTGGCATCTTTGAACATCCCACTCAACTGCACCGCTTGGCTTACCCTGTCCCCCAGGGACAGCATTTCCTCCAGAGCCAGCCTGAAGCTTCTTACAGAGTCCACCTATTTAGGAAGATTTCCTAGGCCTCCCACTGGCTTCTCAGTGAAGGTTCTGGGTCCAGAGCACAGAAGTCCTTGTACCCAGGGTGAAGCTGACCAGCCTCAGGGCCAGACCCTCTGCCCTAAGTCCTCCCCAGCCAGATCAGGCTGTGATGCAGTTGTGTCCGGGCTGATTTTTCATTTCCTCATTTGGCTAACATTTGGATCCTCCCCTGTTCTGGGGACTCCAGTCCTTTTCTCCCAGCAGTCAGGGGCTAAGCTCAGAGCCCATGGCACCTGGCTAGGTGGTTGTGAGATATGGGGAGGCCTTGAGGGGCTTAGACCTGGAGGCAGGGCATGATCTGGGCTCAGGGACACTGACGCTCTCCCTGCCCCTCCTAGATGATGGCAAGCTCTCATTTGAAGAGTTCCAGAACTATTTTGCCGATGGGGTTCTCAGCCCCGGGGAGCTACGGGAACTGTTCAGCAGCATTGACGGCTGTCCCACTGAGTGAGTGAGAGGGGGTGACTGAGCGTGGGTGGGTGCCAGGCCAGGTTGTCCCAGCCCCACTTTGTCCCCTACTGCCTCCGTTCTTTTTGGAGGACTGGGGTGGGTAGTGGGAAGAAAGGTGCCAGGGTTTGGTGCCAGCTTTACCCCCTCTTCCAGCCTTGCCCACCACGCTGCTTTCGGCTGGAACCCCAAAATAGACCTGAGTCACCACCTGTGGCTCAACCCCTTCATTCCCGCTTCCTGCAGGAACCAGAGGCTGCCTGGGGACAGCTGGGCTCCGCCTGCCCCCACCCGCCTCCACCCAGGGGTGCAGGTGCACACACACACCCCTTCCCACATCTTCCCACGTGTGCTCCCACGTCTACACATCTTGGCAGGGCGAGTGAGCTCCTCCCAGCTTCCTCGCTCTGGTGCACACACATCGCACATGTATACGCCTTCCCTTCCGTCTCCTCAGGGTAAACCCCAGACTCTGGGCTGGCATGCGGGGCTCCCAAGACTTGGGCTGGACCCTTTGTCTGCAGCACTCCCCCCCACTCACTGACCAGATACCCCAAATTCCTTGTCAGGCTGAGTTGGGAGTCAGGGGTGGGGTGGGGACATTCCAGTTTGCCAGGCCAGGCCTCAGGGTCTGAAGGGTGTCTTTTTTTTTTTTCCTCTGCAGCAATTTAGAAACAGAGAAACTATGTGGTGAGTAGGTGCATGTTTCCCAGGTCCCTGGGCAGGTGGATATGGTGAGGGGCTGTTGCTGGGTTCCTGATGGGACAGAAGGGGCTGGGTTCAAGATATGAGAACTGCTTGGTAGCTGGGGAACTCTAGGTGGCCAAATTCCCAATTGGGGAGCAGGGCTCAGAACCCATGAGCACCTCTTCTCCTTGCAGACTACTTCTCCAAACGCCTGGGTGTCTACCGGCCTGTGCTGGCTGCACTGGAGTCACTGAACCGTGCAGTACTCACTGCCATGGACGCCACCAAGCTGGTGAGTGGAGTGGCTGATGGTGGGTCCCCACATGGGTATCTGCTATGCTTTGGACACTGTTGTCATGGCTCAAGCTTGCAGAGCTTCTCCCACTTAGTGGCTATGCCTCTTTGCCTCTCTGGACCTCAGTTTCCTCATCTGTCTGTACTTTTGTTGTGATAATTAAATGAGAATGAAGGCAGGGATTTTTGCATAGTTTTGTTTTCTTTGTTCCCAGCACCCAGAACAAGGCCTTGCACACAGTGGGTGCTTTAGACCTGGAGCAGCGTTGCTGTTTTTGGTTTTGGCCAGACATAAATGCTGGGAACTATCAAGCCAGAACCCAGTGGGCATAGGCTGGTTCATGGGGGGACGAGCTCATCATGCCCAAAGCCTGTGCTGGTGCATGGAGCCATGGGGTCTTGCCCTAAGGACATATGTGAATAGGCAGGTATGTGTGTGGCCATGTGTTTGTGTGCATGTGTGGACACCTTTGGGCACAAGTGTAAACAGTGCTGACAGCTAGGGCTCCAAGTTCTTGGAGAGTGACTTCAAAAAAATAAGCCACCCCTCCCTTTATGTATTCTTCCCTCTCCCCCTGCAGTGCTGGGAGTCAAACTCAGGGCCTCAGGCATATAGGCAGGCAGCCACCTCTCCAGTCCTGTGCTCCTTTTAAGAAATGTCTCCACTTCCTTTTGCCCCACAGCTCCTCCAGTTGGGGCTGAGTGGGGAGGAGCAGTGAGCAGCTCTGGGAGAGTGCCCGATCCTGCCTTTTTAAATTATTTTTTATTTTTCCTCTATTGGGGATTGAATCCAGGGCTCTGCACACATTAGGCAAGTGCTGTATCTGTCAGCTACATCCTCAGTCCTCTGACCCCACTTTATACCAAAAGGAAAACTGAGATTCCAGAGTTTAAAAGATCACACAACTAGGGACAGGGCTTCTACTGATTGCTTTCATGTGACATAGCCTTGGGCCTGGCCTTGCAAATGGATAGCTGGACTGACATTCTCTGAACTGGCAGTGGGTTGGGGGATTCAAACTGCAAGTCAATGTGAGGGCCCAGTGGGTCCCATCTGCCCCCTCCTGACCCAGAAAGGGAGTGGAGTTGACCCACCTCCACATGATGAGCCTGCCAGCTCCAAACACTTGACATTTCTTTATCTAGTCTCAAGGCTGATAGGACAGTGACTCAACCTAGAGCCAATGTCCCTGCAGTCCCCAGGTTGCACCACCACCTCCTGGCAAACATGGCTCAGTTGAACACTTCGTGCACCAGCCTGGAGCCACATTCCTGGTACATGGCGCGAGTCATCCAATCACACTGGAAGGAGCCCAAGGAGGCCACCATGGAGCCTCCAGTCCACACAGCTGAGCCACGTCCAGGGTTGGCCACCAGGTGGGGCCGTAGGGCGGGATAGCCGTGCCGCCGGCACTGACCCTCCAGCTCCAGGTCCAGGCGCTGAATGAAGCCAGGGAAAAGCGTGGAACCGCCGGCGAGCACCACAGTGTTGGCTAGCCCTGTTCGCAGTGTTGGGGGCATTTTCTGCAGTGCCCGGAAGGCCAGTGCAGCCAGTCCTGGCTCAGACTGGCCAAGCAGACACGGCTGGAAGATGGGTTCGGGGCAACAGAAACGCTCGCTGGTGATGCGCAGATAGCACCCCTTGCCCAAGCAGAAACTGGCCGGATGGTGGCGGGCAGGGTTACGGAGATCACCCTCGAAATCCAGCGACACATAGCAGCAGCGCTTCTTAAGCTGTGTGATGGTCTTGCGGGGCAAGGCCTGCACCCCCATGTTGGGACACGCTGTCACCAGCAGGTCTCGCAAGTAGCGCGACAAGGTGCTGCCTGCTACATCCTGCCGGAAAGTGGCCTTGTGCCACGAATGACCCCCGTAGATGGGCGTGGCGTGGCACACGCCCGCGCCCGCTTCTACGGCAAGCCCGCTGAGCGCACCGGAGGAGCAGAGCGCCAGCAGCGCGGTGCTGGCCATGTGGCACGCGGGCACTGCCAGGGCCTCGAACAGCAGCTCAGCTGCTTTCTCGCGGTCCTCAGGTGGCGCCGATGGCGAGTTGCTCACCAGCACGGGCCACTGCTCCGGTAGCACTCGCAGGCCGCCCACCAGCAGGCGCTGCCAGAGCCCCTCCAGCGCCTCCCAGTCCACCACCACGCCGTGCTTGATGGGGTGCGCCCGCGCCACGCCGCCCGCCAGCTCGCAGCCCAGCGTGCCTGGCTGCACGGACCGGTCCCAGCTGGGCACCAGACTGGAGCTCTTCAGTACTATGCGCGGCTCCTCCTCGCCCGCGAAGCCCGCCTTTGTGAAGCCCGAGCCCAGGTCCACCACCACGGCGACGTGGCCCAGGGAGTGCCGCCGGCGGACCCGGCGGCTACGGGAAGCAGACGCCACCTTCCGGCTAAGGCTCAGCCCTCCTCAGAGACTCGGCCCGGCCCCAGAGCCTGGTCCGCCTGAGCCTCCAAGTCCTAGTTTTTCTGCGCTGGATAATTGTCCCTCTCAGTCCGTGACTTCGTCCGCCGGTCGTGTGCCCCACTCCCCACCCTTCGGGCAGAGTGGCCGCCTTCTTTTCTGCTCGTGGCTCCGCCCTAGGCCGGAGGCCCCGCCCTCAGCTCCAGGGTCTACCTCTGCTCCCGCGGGGTCCCAGCGGCGGCTGGGTTTGGCTGTCCTAGGTTGCAAGCTCCAGGCTCCTCCAGGCCCAGCACTTCCTCGGGACTCGTCGTGGTCGCGCGGACCCGCCTCCTCAGGTCTTGCTGGGGTGGATGACGAGAGGGCCAGGCCAAATACTTTGGATATTGAGAAACTGCTGGGAAAGCAGAGCTCAGGCAATGAAAGGCCCTTGTGGCAAGGCCATCAGGACATATATACCCCCGTGGGGATGCTGGAGTCCTGGCTAACCCTTAAGCTCCAGGCAGTCTCCTGGCACCTCTCGCCTGGCTTGGCTAAAGAAGTTTCTCGTTGTGGAGGTGGGAGAGGACCGTCAGAGAAGAGAACTTGTATTGGGCTCTTTGTGACCTCAGCACTGACTGAGCGTCTCTGGCCCCTCCCCCCAAGAAAACGCTGGACCTATCTTCCTCTTCTGTCCAAGCCAAGGGCAGCGGTTTGGGCATTCATGTTCTGGCCTCAGCTGCCCAGCACAAGGAGTCTGATTCTTTCCCAAAATAGCTGGATTATCTGCTCTATTCGTGCCAGATGTACGGCCCTTTCACTTGCTAAAGTTTTTTTTTTTTTTTTTTTTTTTTTTTTTGGGGGGGGGGGGGTACACGGAATTGAACCCAGGGTCACCCAATCCCTGAACCACATCCCCACCCCAATTTTGTATTTTTATTTAGAGACAGGGTCTCACTGAGTTGCTTAGCGCCTTGATAAGTTGCTGAGGCTGGCTTTGAACTTGCGGTCCTCCTGTCTCAGTCTCTTGAGCCACTGGGTGCGCACCACCAGGCAGGCCAACTAAAATAAGGATTTTATACTGAATCTTGTTTAATCTTATGGATACCAAGGATAAGGGTGAAATCAGTTTTCAGGAAGAGAGTCTGACCTCAGGGTTGAGGGGAACCAGGATGTGCAGTCTTTGTGCGGTTTTTATTCCTCTGAAGACTGGCTTTAGCCAGTCCACGTTCATGTAGAAATCATTGTCCCTTACAGCTCCCAAATTTCAGTCCCAGAGAAGGGGCTGATAAAAGTCAGCTTGGGCTAGTCACGTACACAGGAGTGCAGTTATCCTGACTGTAACCATCTGGATGGCAGGAGAGTCAGTTCTCACAATGTAGGGGCTGCTGTATGGGTCATGCAACCTCCTGTGATGTAGGCCTTCTGGAGGGGATGTCCCTTGTGTTGACAGTAACAAAAGTGTATCTGTAGCAGAAGCTAGACCTGTGGTGCTAGTGAGCTGGGCTACCCCCAAAGGGGGCTTTCTGAAATTGGTCACCAGTGTGGGGTAGGAAGGCAGGCTGCAGATATGGCACGCTGGGGTGGCTTTGGGGCCTGGAGCTGGGTTTGAGAACCAAGAGAGTGTGGTGAGGAGAGGCAGCCCAGATTGTGCTGGGCCTCTTGTGATATATGAAGTGAGCCTCGCATGGAGACCACAAGTGCTGATTTGGCTAGAGCAGGGATGAGGGGGCACCACTGAGAGGCCCTCAGAGGGGAAGATAGAGGCTGGGGAGAAGACCTGCATAGTCCCAGAGCGCAGTGGAGAACCAGCGAGACTTAGGAGGGGAGTGAACTGCCCTAGACACTGTTTGAAAGAAGTCTTTGGTGAAATGTGAGAAGGGACAGTACAGAGTAGGGACAAGGGATGAATTTGAGGTGCCTTGGGAGTCATGGAGCACAATGGGGGTAGGAGTGATGGTCAGAGGCCCAGGGACCCCAGGTCCTCCTCCTGGCTGCTCCCACAGGCAGAATCTGCGTCTCAGGCTTCACCCATCTGCCTGGGGATCCTTGCTGTTCTCCCTGGGGTGCTGCTTATCTGCCGGGACCTCTCCCTCTGCCTGAGGAAGATTCCTGAATGCCAGGGACTCTTGGAGATGTCAGGCCTTTGCTGGAACAGGTCCTTCCAGCGTAGCCAAGACCGGATTTGCCAGAGTCCACCTACTTTGAGCTTGCAAGACCTGGCAGGGTCTGATTAGGGTCTGGAGTGTCGCCGGAAAGGGTTTTGACCCTTGTGTCACAAGCAAGTGCCCCAGCTCCAGGCCATCGGCGGTGACTGCGTCGGCTAAACTCTGGTTCACCCCTGCCCTTGTAGCCCGGGACAGAACCAGCAGACTCCAGAGTTGTTCTGCTCTCTTTATTGGGCTGGATCCCGGGGCCGGGGCTGGGCGGGGCCCCCGCTCAGGGCCTCGGGCGAGGGCAGCGGCGCTGCTTGCGGGGCTGCTCCTCGCCAGGGTCGCCCTCGCC